GGTCCACCAAGCCTCGCCCGTCACGCACCGGGGCTCCGCACTTTGTCCCGCGCCTCGCGTTGCCCCCACCGGTCTTGCTGCTCCAGTGGCTCCAGTGCCTCCAGTCTTGGGCTCCCGCAGCCCACCAGCCCCCCCTCCCAGCCCATCGCGCCTTGCGCCCTACTCCACCAGTTCTCTTTCCTCTGCGACTCACTCTGTGCTTCAAGCGTTGGAGCTAGCACCGCTTCCCATACAGCTTCCCAAACACACTCCGGTGTCGCTCTCCAGCCACCACTCCCAACACACCCGCTCTGGCTGCGCATACCCCTTTCCGGGGGCTGCCTCCACCTTCCTAGGGCCTTGGGATGCCCTTGTACCTCTAAGGCTTCCCACCCCCACCCCCCTTTCCTACTACTCCAAACCAACCCACTCCAGGCTGCAGGGCCTTAGAGCCCCCTTTTAGCCCCCAAATTTTGTGTTTGCTCAGAACAAACCCCCAGTGTTTCTCTGCTTAGTCCTGGCCCCACCCAGCCCAACAGCTGGTGCCACATTTGCTTTCCCTCTCCTGGATGTGCTTGATTTTCTGACCTACCCTCTCACTCTCGCTTGCCTGTTCTCTTTTCCTTGTTTGTCCCAGGTGCCAGGATGGTGGAGGAACTCCAATACAGGGAATTCAGAGTGCCCCTGGGGCCTGGCTTGCATGCCTATCCTGATGAGCTGATTCGCCAGCGAGTGGGCCACGATGGGCATCCTGAGTACCAGATCCGCTGGCTCATCCTCAGGCGTGGGGAGGATGGGGAAGGGAGCTCTAGCCAAGTGGACTGCAAGGCCGAGCACATCCTGCTATGGATGTCCAATGATGAGATCTATGCCAACTGCCACAAGATGCTAGGCGAGAATGGCCAAGTTATCTGGCCTTCCCAGGAGACTGCAGGGGAAGCTGGGACTCTGGACAAGTCTGTGCTGGGGGAGATGGAAACCGATGTGAAGTCTCTGATTCAGAGGGCCCTTCGGCAGCTGGAGGAGTGTGTGGGCACCATCCCTCCTGCTCCTCTGCTTCACACTGTCCACGTGCTTAGTGCCTATGCCAGCATTGAGCCCCTCACTGGGGTCTTCAAAGACCCAAGGGTCCTGGACTTGCTCATGCACATGTTGAGTAGTCCCGATTATCAGATTCGCTGGAGCGCGGGCCGGATGATACAAGCCCTGGCCTCCCATGATGCTGGTGAGGAGCAGTGTGGGAGGAAGGGAGAGCAGGAGAGGGGCTGGGTCAGCTTAGGGCCTCACAGGATGTTGTAGCAGGAGCCTCTGACCTCATCAGTACATAAATGATCTGTTGCCCTTCTCTCAGAGTTGGAAGAAAAGGTGAGGAGATAGGTGTATGAACCTCTGCAGAAAGGAAAAACTGAGTCCCCAGGAACCTCATGTTACTTTACTTTTTATGCAAAGGAAGAATTTAGACTTTAGACTCTTGTAGGATATATGTATATATGTGCTTATTCATATATATGAAAAAGCAAGTTTTGGCCTTTGAAGTAAATCATGTCATTGCTAGTGTGTGGTGGAAAAACGATTGGACTGAGGGAGTAGGGGGGTCTGGGAGAGAGGCCTGGGAAGGTTGAGGTTAGGGAGCAGTTACTGATTGGGTTGTGGGTTACAGGGACCAGGACCCAGATCCTTCTGTCACTGAGCCAGCAAGAGGCCATTGAGAAACACCTGGATTTTGACAGCCGCTGTGCTCTGCTGGCTCTGTTTGCACAGGCCACGCTCTCTGAACACCCCATCTCTTTCGAGGGCATTCAGCTGCCACAGGTATTCTGTCAGGGGCGTTGGGGGTGAAATTATGAAGGTCTATGGACCAGGCCATTACACCTATCTATTATAGAGGATGGTGTGGAGAGAGGGGCTAAAGCTGGACAAAGTGGACATAGGCCAAAAGTTGTGTCCTACAGGTCCCAGGAAGGCTGCTCTTCTCCCTGGTGAAGCGCTATTTGCATGTCACCTCCCTCCTGGACCAGCTGAATGACAGTGCTGCAGAACCTGGAGCCCAAAGCAGCTCTGCTCCCGAGGAGTTGAGTGGGGAGAGGGGTCGGCTGGAGCTGGAATTCAGCATGGCCATGGGCACCCTGATCTCAGAGCTGGTGCAGGCCATGCGCTGGGACTGGGCCTCGAGCAGAGAAGGGCCCTCGGCCCCATCTTCCTGTTCCATCTTCCAGCCCCAGCTGGCAGATGCAGGCCAAGGGCTGCCACCCACTCAGGCCCAGCCCTCCCTCCGGAGGTCAAGGCGGTTTCGCCCTCGCTCTGAGTTTGCAAGTGGCAATACCTATGCCTTGTATGTGCGGGATACGCTGCAACCAGGGATGCGAGTGCGGATGCTGGATGATTTTGAGGAGATCAGTGCTGGGGATGAGGGCGAGTTCCGGCAGAGCAACAATGGTGTACCCCCTGTGCAGGTGAGCGAGCGCATGGTGGTTGGTGGGACACTGTTAGGGATCTTTTTGGGTGGTGCATAACTGGGGCTTTCATGCAGAGGGCCCTGGCCGGCCACCCAGGAAGAAAACCCCCAAGAGAATTGAAATCGTCAAAGGGGGGTCTATTGAGAAGGGAGGCTATTTGAAGGGCTGAGAAAACCTGAGTTTAGAAGGCTATGAGGTCAAGAAGACTCCCAGGAGGAACTGATACAGCAAGACTTTCCCAGAGGTGGGGTCAGGGAGACAGATGTTTGAGGTCAGGAGGAAGTACAAGGGCATAAGTCATCAAGGGCAGGTGAGAGGAGAGGCAGAGCCAGTGCCAGTAGAGGAGGGCATCCTGTGTGTGTGTCCATGTTCTCCATATCCCAGTGTTTTGCTATCTAGGGGTTTTTCCAAACCTGGCCAAGGGCTCACCTGAAGTCTCTGTGTCCTCTCGGCCACAGCCAGTTGTTAAGTGAGCTCTATTCCCCTTTCCTCTTTCTTTCCCATGTCTTCCAGGTGCTGTGGGAATCGACTGGCCGCACCTACTGGGTACACTGGCACATGCTGGAGATTCTGGGTTTTGAGGAAGACACTGAGGACATGGTTGAGGCTGAGGAGTACCAGGGGGCAGTGGTCAGTGGAGGCCAGGGTGTAGGTGAGCCCAGAGAGGAAGCTGGAGTAAGCTTTGAGCACAGGAGCAGTGGTCTGGCTGGGTAGGCAGTGCCACCATTGTGCCTTATGATCCATTTCCACAGCCCTGCCCTCCTGGCGATGGAAGCCCATGTCAGAGCTCTATGCCATGCCCTACGTGCTGCCTGAAGACGAGGACACTGAGGAGAGCGAACACCTGACCCAAGCCGAGTGGTGGGAGCTCCTCTTCTTCATCAAGAAGCTGGAGGGACCTGACCATCAAGAGGTTCTCCAGATCCTCCAGGAGAACCTGGACGGGGAGGTAGAGCTGGCCTGGAGACACACAGAAGTTGGAGGGCTCCACTGTGAGGGCTGGACTGTGATAGAGCATTTGGAAGGCTCAGAATGGGACGTGGAGGTTAATAGCGTAGGGGCTGCAGGGAAGGGGTCTAAAATATTTGGTGGTATTGGCAAGCTCTTTGGGAGGAGCTAGCTGTCAGCCATGGGAGGTTCAGGATGCAGAAAGTATATGCAAGTCCCCAACCCACCAAGTGCCCTGGAGTCCCCAGGGCTGCCTGCAGTGAGAGCTTCTCCCAATAGCAGATTCTGGATGATG